TGATAGTGTACATCAAAGTACAGTTATGATAGTGTACATCATAGTACAGTCATGATAGTATACATCATAGTACAGTCATGACAGTGTACATCGTAGTACAGTAATGATAGTGTACATCATAGTAAAGTCATGACAGTGTACATCTCAATACTGTAATGATAGTGTACATCGTAGTACAGCAATGATAGTGTACATCAGTACAGTCATGATAGTGTACATCAAAGTACAGTTATGATAGTGTACATCATAGTACAGTCATGATAGTATACATCATAGTACAGTCATGACAGTGTACATCGTAGTACAGTAATGATAGTGTACATCATAGTAAAGTCATGACAGTGTACATCTCAATACAATAATGATAGTGTACATCGTAGTACAGTCATGAAAGTGTACATCGTAGTGCAGTTATTATAGTGTACATCATAGTACAGTTATGATAGTGTATATCATAGTACAGTCATGATAGTATACATCATAGTACAGTCATGACAGTGCACATCGTAGTACAGTAATAATAGTGTACATCTTAGTACAGTCATAATAGTGATACAGTCATGATAGTGCATATCGTAGTACAGTCATGAAAATATACATCGTAGTACATTATTATAATGTACATCGTAGTACAGTCATGATAGTAGGGAGTTTTAGCAGAGCCTACGAGTACGACTACGAGTACGATTTACGTCATTTTGGCGCGAAAACATTGTTGCGACAACAAAAACACGTAGCCGTCATCAATCTGAGTACGATGTTTTGTAAAAAATTCGTAGTCGCGACTACGATGTCTTTTTAAGTAAAGAAAGTAGGTATATTTCTTCATTCTGTAAGAAATTAGTTTACAGTACTATTTTCGAGCATCCAGGCTTTAATATAGAACCCTTTTTGAGCGCAGATGTACATTAAAAAGGAAAATATGACCTGCAAAACTTTCATGTATTTCGTACGCAAAGTGAAAGGTAAACAAATAATGAAATTGTACAAATACATCGTACATAAAACTTAAAATAGTGAAGATTTTTCAGTCTAAAGAGTCCTATATTCTCGCAAAACCAGTATTATCGATTCTTTGATATCATTATTGAAAAATAGAGCCGTAGCTGCTTCGCAAACGTCGGTGTTTTACACAATAAAAAGGCTCGTTCTATTGTTTACAACTAAAGCAAAATTTTGACCAAGCGACAACGACAACAAACTTCCTCATGCCATTCTCTTACACGGTCAAATTTCGTACTCGTAGTCGTAGTCGTACTCTTGCTAAAACTCCCTAGTGTACATCGTAGTACAGTCATGATAGTGACACATTCGTCATAGTTATACCACTCATCATAGTGATACAGTCATGATGTCACTGTACCTCTTTCCAATGAAGGTGCGGGCAATTTAATAACGACCTTTTTCATAGAAGCAACAACTGGAATTTAACATAGCGTTAGTATGATGAATTATAACTATTTATAAAATGTACTTATCTAGATAATCTATATGTACAAACATGTAACGATGCTTTCGGGCTCAAACAACTGACTTCATTTTTACGAAAAAGGTTTTTAACTTTTGCATATTGAGCGAGGTACCACATAGAAAGAACTACTTTTGCGAACTCTTATTTTACCGTCTATTCCATGTTGATAAAAATATTTCGCTTTCTTATCACGTCTGTTCTCATTGATCACCTCTATATCTACATTGCCTCGAGAATCTATAAAACAATAACAAAAGGCAGGGAGATCATTAATGTCGCCGAGTTGTTCGATTTTCTTTTAGTTATAAAAATGAAAAGATAAGAAAACAGTTTTGCATGATACAAAGGAAATCATAAAAACTTCTCATATGCAAAAGATTGCATAGTGGGGAAACATTGGGACAAAGTGTGATACATTTCAGGTACTCAACAAAAAATTATAATATGTGTGTATTATAAAAAAACCTTCCCATCAAAATGCTTACCTATGAAGAAAATTCTTGGCACGTACGTTCCATCTATGTTGTACTTCTCATCATTTGGAATTTCATCGTCCTTTAAGAAAGAAAGTAAAAAATAAAGAAAGGCAGAGATGCTACTTAGTAATAAACAATTAAAATAATAAACATTTAAAATACCTCAAGATTGACCATGACAAAATATTTGCTGATTTCTGCAATGTTCAAAGACATGGCAAATTCTTCCTTTAAATCTAGAAATATATTTTACACCTTGTCACCATTGAAGTAAGACTATAGCATTTGCTTTTGTGACATTTCCCTGTGACATTTTGTTGTTTTTTAATGAAAAAACTGAAATCAATTTTTCATCTTTAAGATTACTTACGTACCTCTGCTGAACTGACACCAACTTCGATGGAAAATCATCATGATTGGCTTGTTGCTAATAAGATATGTGTCCACATGTATTACAAATTTGGGTGAAAGGTTTTTTCCATTGATAACACAGAGATATGTTTCATTAAAAGAAAACTAAGTTCTGAAAACATACATAGTTTAAGAACCTACAATTCCTCAGCAATGCCATAGCTGTCATTCAACGATGTCCATTCAATCTTTCCTCCAAAACCTGTGTATTTTTTAGAACGATATGAATGAACTAACAAATACCATCGAACTGATTAATGAAGACAAAAACAGGATCTTTCACCTTTTGTTCTATCATTTTCAACGGTTTCTTCTCTTTTCAAAACTTTTTTCATAGATGTAACAACTAAAACAGTTTACATGCTTGAATATCAAGTCATAACACAAGCCATATGTATTGCTCATGTTAACAGACAAAAGAATGAGGAGATGGAAACTTATTATACATGTGTACCTTGCTCAGCATTTCCATATGAATAAACGAAGTCATCCTTATATTCAGGGCTTTCGTTGTAAAACTCTTCCATTATTTTTCCATTTCGAGGATCTGTTGTAAAAAGAAAAAAAATTGAGTCGTTTGCATTAATAGAAAGAAACCAAAGGTTTGTGTGCTCACAAAGTACGTTTGAAGACTAGGTTCTAATTCAAAAATTGGCAATACAGTAATGGACTCACTGACATTATAGTATCTATGAAGATAATTTCAATGAGTAGAAAATTGAACCTACCAAAGAAGTATAGGCGTGGAACATAAGCACCATCAACATCAAAATCATCTCCCAACTTTTCTTCATCATCCTTTATTTAAGAAATTGCAATAACCTAACATCCACAACTAAAAAATATCCTGTTCATGTCCGTGTGAATGTAATTATAACATACCTCGACATTCACCATAACAAATTTGGAACTAAGTTCAAGAATTTTCTTCGACTTGGAAAAATAGGACTTTAGGACTAAAACAACAGAAATAGCTTCATGAAAGCAATCCAACGTCAACATAACTCAAATCATTAATTGAATTCACTCACTTTTGCAAGCTTTACACCAAGACTTGTGAATGATCAATAGCATCGGAATATTTCTTAAAGAAGAAAATATCTTCAGTTGAAAATATTGAAGTTTGACTCAGCAATTTTGTGTTCTATATAAAAACCATCTTTTGTCTTCGTTAACCTTTCTTTAGACAAAATCAATCCACTTTCCAAATTTTCCCACTTTATTTTCTCTCCCCATCCTACCAGAAAATGAATATTTCAAAAAATATACCCATATATCATTTCATAGGATAATTTAATGCAAAAAATCTAATTATTCACACCATTGTGCAATTTGGTGGATTTTTCCTCTTTTTTGATAACAATTTTCATACTTCGAGCAACTAAAACAAGAGATAAAAGTCAAACCATGTTTTCCAACCATAAACATGAAGAAAGATTGTTAGATAAGTATAACACTAACTCTCATCAGCTTCTCCATAATAATATTTCACGTGAGGATAAGCTGTTCCTTCATTCCATAATTCGTCCATGACACGACCACTTGGTTCTGAGAACAAAAAATCAATTTTGATTTAAAAAATAAAAAGAAAGGCTCACAAAACTTACCGACAAACAATATTCTTGGAATGTAAGCACCGTCGATTATAAATTTATTATCTTTCGGTTCTTCATCATCCTATAAATTGAATTAAGTGCACTAAACAATGAATTTGGAGTTTTAAAGAGTGAGAGTTGCAATACTTTTACAAAGTAGAGTAGCAATGTCTGTCGATTTTTACGATACAATACTAGAAAAAATATTATGACAATACCTCAGTGTTGACCATGACAAAATGTTTGCTTAGATTCAGTATTTCATCAGATGCAGCAAATTTTGGTTTTAACTCTATGAAGAAAAACAACACAAGTATAACAACAAGTATTAATTTTTTATATTTTGTTAGTCTTCTTGTTCAAGGTGATGTTACGTTAACTTACGTTTACAAGAACCACACCAAGTTTTATGAATGATAAGCATCATTGGTTTGCCACTATTTGTAAACATATAAAGAAATACCATTGTGCTACTTCAGTCTTCAAGATAAATTATTCAACTACGTTTTTAATCGCACCTTTTTCTAGATTCCTCTACGCCGTCTTTAAATGTGAACCAGTTAAATTTTTCACCAAGTCCTGCGATTATATGTCGAAAAAGTCAGTAAAGACTGCCAAAGTTAAATTGATAAGAAAAGTTACTTAAGATCTTGATGATTGATAAGATTTATTTTTACCAAAAATGTGTTCTTAAATAAATTCCTAAAACTTAGCAAAGATAGTCAACTTGTTGAATAGAGGTGTTTACGATGTTTTATAAAATTATGAGACACTGATCAATCTTGGGTAAAAAGAAGAGACAATTTGTGGCACCTAATACCTCATCCTAAATTATAATAAAGAACAAGATACACTTACCTCTGTGAAGATTGTTGGAACTAAATTCCATTTTCATGACTTCCTTCATACTGCGTACAACTAATAAAATTCATAACATTCAAATATGTAAAATAAATTGATGTAACCAAACATCTTGGTCAAGCAATATTTTCTAAAAGAACTTCATACTGTTTTTTGGTTCTCCATAATAGTATTTGGTGTCGGGAAGGATGTTCCTTTGTTCCATATATGATCCATCACTTTACCACTAGGTTCTGAAACACAGTAAGCGTGAACTTACAGGAACAAGATAAGAGAAAATTTATCATCCTTTGTCTAAAGTATATTCCATCTAATTGTTGTTGTCATGATTTTATTCATCACAAGTGTTCAACATACCAACGAAATAAATTCTAGGAATATATGCACCATCAACAGCATATGCTTTATCTTTTGGTTCTTCGTCATCCTTAATGAAAGAAAGAACCAAAACACCAAATCACTGCATGCAAAACAAAGAATTCTCTCTCATAACCATTGATATACCTCTGTGTTGACCATAACAAAGTTTTTACTCAGTTCTTCGATTTCTTTTGATGCAGCAAACTGTGGTTTTAAAACTGTAAAAATGGAAAAATTTACACTCCTTATTGTTGCCTTCCTATTTATAACTTCTTCAGTTGTGTTTAAATATAATAATACTTACTTTTGCACGAACTGCACCAGGATTTGTGAATTAAAACCATAATTGGCTTTCCACTGCAAAATTATGAACATATCAAGTTTGTCAAATATGTTACTTTTGTTTATAAATTTGACAATTTGTCGAGGTTTTTATAGTTTTTCGAGATTATCAATCCTACAAATTTAAAATACCTTTTTCTAGATTCAACTTCGGCGTTAGCCATTGTCGTCCAATTTATGTTTTTATTATAACCTCGGTCAAGGGAAATGTTTTTTTCTTGTTCAATAACAGTCTTCATACTTTTAATAACTAAAAGTAAAGAAAACTATTTGCATCGTAGATACACATTGGTCTTGTTAGATGAATTGCAAAACAGTGCAAGCGACAAACTATGTTTAAACTGAAATATTAGTTGTAATATTCTCACCATCTTCAGCTTTGCTGTAAAAATACTGGTATTTTTCTCGCTTTTCATTCATTATGTTTTTAAGAATTTTTCCATTTTTACCTATAAAAGACGAAGATTTACAATGACCATACAAGCTACCTTTCTGAAAATTACATTTCCTTCTGGTAAGATTTTCCCATATTTACGAAAGAAATATGCATAGTTAATACCATAAAAGAAAATTCTCGGTACATATTTTCCATCAATATCGTACTCTTCTTTTTGGCTTGCTATTTCATCCTAATTAAATAATATTACATGTATATATGCAAATCTTTGCGATATAAGTAGATATCTTTAACACAACTTTCAACTTAAATAAAAATATGATCTTCGCACTTTGCTGGACAATTTAAGCAATAAAACATTCTTTCATACAACTTTCAACGTTGTATTCAAACAAAAACTTCTTGAAGAATAAAATACAATGAAGTTATTGTATTATTGTATTAAGGACCCCCTGAAACATCACTCTGATGACATTTCTTTAATATCATTTCACATGATTTTTAGTCAACTCATATTTTTCAAGAGATACAATACTTTACAAACTTATATACAAGACGATAAAATAAGATAATACATACATTGGTGTTGATCATCACAAACTCACGACTGAGCTCTTCAATTTCGTCTGATGACAAAAACTGCTCTTTTAAACCTACAAAATTCATCAGTAAAGACCTCTGTAAAACAGCCTACGATAACCAAAGACGTAGCAAGCTTGCAAGTTTGGTTGTGCTTTGTAAATACTTCTGTGTTACTGTCTTTAAAACTCTAGACTTGCCAAAGAAAAAATTGATGCCAATAATCTGACATGTAAGAACAGCCAAAATTGCCGACTATAGCTACGCCTTATTTGGTAACATTGATGGTATATGCAATAAATAGTTTGAACAAACATTTGGAATTCAGCAGAAGTTGAATTTTGAATTTATATGTAAACAACGTACCTACGCAAGCTTTACACCAACTTTTATGTATGATCAACATTTTGGGTTTTTTACTAGATGTGAAGAACCATGAAATTTTTTAAAATATATTAACGTTCTATTTTAATTAAATAAGAGCTCCATGCAAATTTAAAAGCTCTTTCAAATTTACCATTAAGCAGAAAAACCTCGGAAAAACTTAAGTGGGTTGCTTAGTAATTACACTGCATGACGACTTAAGTAATTGAAAATTTTGTTTAAAGATAGCAAACTGGATTTTCTTCCTTTGCCGGCCTTGCAGCATTCAAACTTTGAGTGTAAAAATTGTTAATTTGATAATGTACCTTATATGCATCACAGTTTCATCAAGTGACTTCCAGTCGATATTGCTTCCAAATCCTGAAGAGAATAATTATAAAATATATAAACACGGTCATATAGATGATGCTTCAAACAAATATTCTCCAATATTCAAACTTTACACACATACCTTTGCTAAGAATTTCTCCAGTCACTTGTGTGATCGTAAGAAAAATGTTAATAAACACTAGAAAAACCTGAGTATTGTTAAATGTCATTTTAAAATAATTTTAGACGCAGAAGACAACGCACATCCAATTTGCTACAGAGAAATATTTATACTTTTCATAATAAAAGGAAATCTGTTGAAGTCAACCAAAACAAAGGTTTTGCGTTGAATAAATAAATAAATCATGTTGCTGGTGGCTTTTTTATTTGAAATTTTCATTTCTTAAGAAATACAAAAAACATACAAAAGAGCGCGTGGCATTCATTGTTAACATAGGCCACAAGTTGTTGAAATCAAAAAAAGCCTTTTGTATGTATGCAAAATGTTTTTTGTATGGCAAAGCAAACTCGATAATTGGAATGCACATATTGATACTTGCCTGTTCTGCCTTAAGCTGTCGTATTCCCTTGCGCTACTTTTAAAAATCAATATGTTGTTGTTGTTGACTAACGTTTCGACAACCTTAGCGGTATTCATCTTCAGAGTCTTTTGACTCCCGGGCTCAAACCATTTACTTTATTAGTTTCTACTGTGTCAACAGTGTCTAAAAGTGGGCTGAATATTACAAAGAATCGATGTACTAGTCTTCATGACACAATTCGTTTTTGCTATTATCGTTTTTAAAAAAATCCAAAATATCATGTTCACAGAAGTTAAGATGATATATAACAGACGCTTCCTGATTTCGTTTAAACCTTTTAATTTTATCCATCACGCCTTCTTTCCATTGTTCAAGGGTAGATTTATCTTCACTGCTTTCAAAAAACATCTGCATTTCTTTCTCCATTTTCGTCTTGAGTTCTTCTGCCTTTGTAAGTATACGTTTTTTACTGCTCATCCAACATCTCTTTCGTTCTTCTCGTTTAGTGCATCTTTTCAAGTCTCTTTCAACACCTCCTTCAAGTTTAGCCATTCCATTTACCATTACTTTTAGTGATTCTTTGAAAAGTTTTTTGCCTAACGATGCATAAGCTCTGCTTTCGATCACATTTCGGAAACTGAAAATGAAATTTTCCTTTAGCATGGCTTGCCATAGACCATAGAACTCGTTTACGAAATGAAAAAACAGTTAGCTTGATCACTTCTTTTGAGCACATTAGCTGAATAATATTCTCCTTTACTTTTTGCAAGTCTCTACCATAATTTGGGTTTATCGGAACCATGGGAGGACTTCCTTTCAATAAACTTGGTATGTAAAATACGTCAAATGCATCAAATGCAATGATGTAATCTAACTTTTGAAACTGATCTTCACAATTTTCTTGTATTGCTGCAAGCCTTGCCATATGGTCTAGAATTTGTTTTAGATTTCGCCGATCCATCATTAACTTATCTGCAGCGTCATTAGCAGCAACATTTTGATGGACGATCTTGTAAGATTTTGTGTCTTTCACAAGTTTCATTTTCAAGAAAGCATGAACAGCCATCGCCAAAAACTCTTTCATTTCATTGTAGTTTTCACCAAAGATACTGACAATCGTAACATCAGCAACACCAATAACAAAAGTTGCCAATTCAATAGAATGTTCTCTAACTGTTGGATCAACCAGACTTCTCAGTCCTTCAGTATCGATGATCAATAAGAAGTCCAAGTTTGAGTCCAATTTAAGTCGATCACTAAGTGGAACAAGACAAACAAAAGCGCCACGAGTGCACTTTCTCCCACTTACAGGAAATTCCAAGCCAAACATTGCATTCAACATTACCGACTTACCAGAATTTTGAAAACCTAACACAGAAATCACGCATATTCTAGCGTTATTTGTTTCGCGTTCCACTTCCTTATAAACAGCATCAAACCATTTTAAGGGTAGGTAACCTGAATCACCATTTAGTAATTCCAAAATTTGACCTCAAATAAGAATCTTCGCACCAGCACTGACATAATTATTTATTACAAAACCGGAGAGTTGATGAAGTTGAGCAAGCTCCAAACTAAATAAAGAGTATGATATCAATGCTTCTAAATCTTTCAAATGATTTTCTTCCTGAGATTGTGAATCAAGCATTTCATTGTGTGTTTCTTGTAGCTTTAAACGATATTGTTGATGCAACTTTGCCATCGCAGATAGAGAAGCCATATTAAATAATACTTCAATCATTGCAAATTTCTGTTCAGCATTCGTTCATCCATCACAGCAGTGGAATTCAGGAAATGAAGAATTTCTGTATCCATCTTATGGAATGATTCCATATGAGCCTACTTTTCTTTTCTTATATTTTCATCCGGTTCATTTACATTGTTTTCTCAGCCCGTGTTTTCATTGTTGGAACGAAACTTTGGACTATGTTTCTTTCTTTCTAAATCCGCCAGAACAGGTATATAAAGTTGAAGCTTTAACCACTTTTTTGTTTCTTCAATCCCAAAAGAAAGCCAAGTTTTGAAATTTTTGTCCCACTCAACATTACCTTGGTCATCATTAACATAAACTCCCCTTTTTTTAGATAGTAACCTCACCTTTTCTAGAGATTTCACTTCTGTTTCTTTTATGCTTCTCTGGATTGCTTGGCGAATACTTTTCAAAAATCTGTAATAGGATGTCGTTAATGATTTAGTGAAGGAATATAATTTTGTCGAATGCTGATCGACCACGCCGTCGTAGAAATTTTTTACTTCTTTTCGCATGTTTTCATTAAAAATGAGCATGTTTTTGCCATCGAACAGCAGAGCATCATTCAAAAAATTTATCGTGCATTTGTCAGGTATTTCCGAGGGCAATAAAGCACACAAAATAATTGATATTTCTCGAATTATATTAACTTGTTTCTTGAAATTTTGAGCTTCCCCGCGTAGATTAGCAAAACATATTGCAGTTTTTAAGGTATTCTTCTCACACCTACATAGAAGATACCACACAAGTTCAACCAAACCATCAACGACTTTCCTTTTAACATCACCATCTTTAATGTTTTTATTAAAGAAGAATTCATCATCTCCATTACCATCGCTGATAATCTTATTTATCGGAGAAGATTTAGACATGGTCACATTACCCACCCGGATAAATGACACTATGGGAAAGGGATGTTCAGTTGCGTACACCTCTTTTGCTGAGTCGTTGATTGAGGCACCTCTCCAAGACTTTGTTATTTTTCCCAACGCTGAAAGCAAGATAGTTTGCTTCTCCACTGGATCGCCAGGATCAGGTAAAATAAAAGGAACGCTAAGCTGACATTCGCTAAGTTTAACAGCTATATATTGTCGTAAGAAATTTTCAGAACAATGGAAAATTTAATCTTTATTGCACAATCGATGCTTGAAGCTAAATTTAAAAACAATTACAAAATGGTTGCTGGTGTTCAATACATGATGTCATCATGAAAGAAATTTTATGTACAGCGTTTTTTTCAATATCCCTACTGACATCATTAACTTTTCTGATGCTACGTGTTGGCCTTTCATCACTGCCCCACAATTCAGCATGATATTTTATCATCCCAAATCAGCCAAAACTGGGCCATGTTGTTGTAACCTTAGAAGATTTTTAACTTCTTTCACTCTTTATTAAACGAATTTTCAAACTAGTCCTCCACGCAAAAATTGCCAGACTTATCATCATGAAAATTAAATGCTTTTTTAACGTTCGATATTTCATTAAAGCTTTTGGTTCAGCTCCTTGTGACTCTTGTTGGATAATGGAGCTATTACATATAAAAAAAATGTATTGGTTGGGTTTGTCACACCTTGTGGTAAAAGGAAATTTCGATGGATCTTCATCCTCCTTATCTTTAAAGTATTTCATCGCTTATTATTCTTTTTTCTCACCAAAAATCAATGTTTTACCTTAATCTGGATACTTTTGATTAATTGAAAAACTTTATTATCTTTTTGTCTGGAATTTATGAAAGCAATGTCTATGATCCAGCAGAGTATTTCCATATGTTCAGTAAAAAAAAATGGAATAACAAAATTCTACACAGACATTGGGAAAACAAATTTTGCTTTTCAAAATAATCCTGTCAGACCACAGGCAAGATACCACATACAAGCTCCACAAAGCAATGCATTCATGATTTTGCCTCTAAATTCACCATTTTTCATATTTCTTCACTATTGCTATCACTGATAACATTATTCATCAGAAAAGAGTTGGAAATGGTCATATTACCAACCTCGACGAAGCGCACTTCGGCAAACGGAAGTTTTTCAGCTAAAACTTCTTCGGTGGAATCCTTATAGTCAAAGCAACTCTTGAAATTGCAAATTTAGTGAGCTATCTAGTTGAAAAAGTTACTAAACCCCAGGCAATCAAAAGTCCTTTTTGTATTACTTAAACACGGCATGCGTGCAACAAACACGAAAGATGATTTTATATTATCTAAGATTTCCTATTTTTAATTTAGCTTATGTGACGCTATGGAACATTAAAAAAAAGAACATTAATTTAGGAAATCATTTGGTAACATTTACATAAAAACATTTTACAGATTTGCAAGCTTCTGCAAAGATGAAAAATAGAGCTATTTTTTCTCTTTCACAACGCTAAAACACCAAAAATATAAGATGTTTCAAGAAAGGGCTCAGTACGACCCTCTCATGCAGTGTTTGCTTTGACTAAGAAATATCCAATGAAAACACGTTTTTTCCTTTGATTTAGGGTCCATTCACACTAACACTTTAAATCTATTCGAAATCGATTTGAGTCCGTATTAGGGCACTAATGTGAACACTTGCAAGTGATGCAAAAACGAATTCGCTCCGAACTAACTTGGGCCACTTGAGAAGGTGGTCTCGAATCGGGTTAGTTTAGTCTGCATGATAATGTGAACATGCAACACGAATAGAATCAGGTCAATCTTGATCAATCACATGTTTTTAGTTTAGTAAGTAGACTTTTCATGCGGTCACACATGTCACGTGTTCGTTTTGCTGCGTCTGCTTGCAGCAATATTTTACAATTTTACTTATAAGCAAAAAGTAACGCGACGTGACGCCTTGCACTCTTTTGAAAGTGTTGCTGCATTTTTTTTGTATCACCCTCGATCTTTTGGCTGTTTTTTTTTGCGTTCTTTTGGTATTGTCGTAAAAGTATGCCCATTGCAGTAATCTCCGCCATTTCTATTCGTTAAATGTTGTTATTATCAAAGGTTCAAAGATAGTTAAAGAAAGGCGCCAAAATTTAATGTCAATAATGTGAAGCAAATGTAAACATTACTTTTACTTAAACTATAGATTATAAAGTATTTACCCACAATATCCTATAATTAGACTAAAATACCTGCAAAGCCATATCTATCCTTTTGAGTTTCTTTTGATACTATGTTATCAAGCGAAAAATAATGCTGATAAAACTTTAACTGTAAACACTCCTTCTTTTTCATTTTAAAACGAATCATATTCGAATCAACTAACTGCTTAGCAAACGAATTAAGTGTGAATGGGCCCTTAATCAGTAAATAAGTGATATTATCTTTTTATGGTTTTCATATCAACCATGCAGGTGTCTTAACAAAAAATATCATAATAATTTATAGTTATCAACCGACATGGTGGATCATTTTCCCATGAGTTATACATGCAAAGCATGAATATGACTCGAATGTTGTACAGGTGAGTGGTTGTATTGTTTCATATTACGACATTTTGCAACAAAAATACAGGTTATGCAATAGCACATATCTGTGTAGATAATAACATGTTTACATTTTATATAAATTTTTACATGTTTAAGAAAAGTAAACGATAATTGATATATAGAAGTATCGTCAGAAAAATTAAATATAGTTACAATAAATAATTGACGGTCTCATACGTTATTAAGGCTCGTACACAACATACATGATACGAAATTACAATCTAGAGAATTATGCTTAGTTACAAGACTTTAAAATAAAAATTATGTGCAACAAATAAAGTTAAGAATCATTACTTATACCGTTTTTCTAATTAAATTGAAGCAATTCATTGAAGTCTATAAGATTAAATTATGGCTCATGTTATTAAAGGAATATTTTAGCGACAAAATAATTTGTTGAACAAGCCACAGCACTTTTTGTGACAGAAACATATATCACGACAAAATTCCAAATGAACGTTTAGCAGCAAAAGATTTTATCGATTTCAATCATAACAATGTTCTCCTTTCACCAATAAGTCAGTATCATATAGCTTTTCCACCACGACCTCCATAAGTAAAAAGATATTTGCACGTAATGTTACAAGCCCACTCGATATTTATCATAAATAAGATGTAAAGGCCATTTTTACTCTCACCATTGCCATTTGATGGTTTTTTATGTTGTCAATGTGATTAGTTTTCGTCGTAGTGAATATGTTATTTTGTTTGTCTTTCTAACAATTATAGCTAAGATCCAGCACAGCAAAATAAATTGTATTTGAAATTGTTGATTATCGTTATATTATTTATTTAATGTTTTGGAAGGTAAATTACTTGCAGTTTATATAGTCAAGAAATGAATATTTCCTCGATGTCTTTTAATAAATACAGATTACATAGTTAAAGCTGTTAAATTATAAGTAGAGTTCTAAACAAATTGATCGCCATATTTCACTAACGCATTGGTAGGTAACAATACAAAAATTTAATCACAACACTTTTAGTCTACTTCTTTAAACATTTATTCAACAAAAAAAAACATCAAATGATTCCGGTACTGATCAAATTATATTTCAACAAAAACGAGGTACAATAAGAACATTGATTAAAAATCGACTTCAGGCGACGTTTTTGATGAAGATTTTTATAAGTTGTATTGCTCCTTCAGTTGTTTTACGGCCTCACTGAAGGTCACACTTTTCCAACTCGAAGGTATTTTGGCTTCCTTTGCTTCATAATGTTTCGCCAGTTGTTTCGAGAACTTTACCATGAACCACTGCCAATATTTAGAATTTTCATATGAGCGATCTGGAGGAATTTTCCACGATTTGTAGTAATCGTTTACTGACTGATAATCTTTGTATGGATGGGGTTGCCAATTTGTGTCAATGTTTTTAAATGTGTCATTTCCGGCTACAAGAAATGTACAAATATCGGAAATCAAAATCTTAGTTTTGGAATTGTAATGACCTGCCAAACCCAGAGGACGGTGTAAATTTGTCGAGTATTGTTGGTAATCCATAGTCTGATCACACAAAGCTTTACAAAAAGGACAAACAGCCTGACACTCAAGCAGTAACTTTGAAAGCCTTTTGTGGGGTGCTGGCTGCCAATTACTAATAGTTTCACTATCCAGTTCAGCATCAGTAAGGATTTGTACAAAGTCTTCGACAAACTCACGAACTTTTTTGTCAAATAAATCCGTTTCTTTTAAATCTTCATCCAATGTAGCAAAACCAAACATTTCTTTCGTGATGGCAAGAGAAGGACACTGTTCCACAAACTTTTCAATCCAATTCATTACTTTCCAACTCTCGCTTCCTCGTTCGATTTCATTTCTAGCTTTCTTATTTGCGTCTTCAATGGCAGAAAAAATATTTGACTTCAGCCTCTCTCCCTCATCTTTTAACAGAGATCGCACCAGTTTCGATTCTGTGTTCAAGCAAAAGTCTTCCACGTATTCCTTTAATTTATTTTCCAAAAATTGAATAGGATTCTTTAAATAAGGAACAAACAATTCAAAACTAGGGTTTTCTCCAAGTTGAATCAAAACAGTGGCATGAAAGTGAGCCTTGCTAAGAAACATGCTTTTTGTCAAAAGCTTAGTATCAACTGCTGTTACAATGCCTTTGTTAAGTTTTGATTTTATAGGCTCGCGAAGCACGTCAACCAATGATGTAGCAGCCAAAACTTCTTTCTCCATCTCTTTGCAAAGGTTGATAAAATACTTTTCCAGCCTTGGTCTTAATGTTTTTTCAAGATTCCGTAGAATATCACGCTCTTCAACATAACGGTCTTCCATTTTATCAAAAATAGGAAAGGCACGGGCAAATGTGTATAAAAGTATGTCACATACTAATGGTTTTTTAAACTTCATGTTTTGTTTCTCTGTTTCTTTATCAATAGTAGAAATGATTTCATCATACATTGTTATAAGATCATTAGTAGTAAATCTAACAGCAATGTTGGAAACTCTCTCTACAAACATCTTTCCTTGAGAGATAACTTTATTTTTGACAAAATTTGCCCTTGAAATAGCATCGTGTATGAACCACTTATACACGTTTTGGACCACTTTCGAAAAATACCCTCCCTTAAATGAAAGCATACTGTTATCAATGACAGGATCAGCATAAAAAAAAGGAGAAATTCTATACTTTTTTGGTTCTAGTTTCATTAACATGTCAGCTCTGAGATCAGAATTTTCTGGTAGAAGAACATGAACCATATATTGGTTGACATCACGCCTTACTTCCTCACAAGGAGGAACTTCGCCAATCCATTGTTTCCATTCTTTTTGAAATGTTGCTTTACATTCTTCTTCGTCATTTGTTTTTTGAGATGACATTAATTTTTTTGCTCTACACAGAAGTTGCATTTCAAAAATTTTTTTCATTTCTTCAACATCTTGTTGTTGTTGCAGATGGTGGAAGGTTGCCTCACAATTTTCTATAACAGACGCTACCTGATTTCGTTTGTATCTTTTAATTTTCTCCATCACGTCTTCTTTCCATTGCTCGAGTGTAGATTTATCTTCACTGCTTTCAAAAAAAGTCTGCATTTCTTTCTCCATTTTCATCTTGAGTTCTTCTGCCTCTGCAAATATACGTCTTTTATTGCTCATCCAACATTTATTTCGTTCTTGTCGTGTTGTGCATCTTTTTAAGTCTCTTTCAATACTTCTTTCAATTTCAGCCATTCCATTTACCATTAGTTTTACTGATTCTTTGAAAAGTTTTTTATCTAATGATGCATAAGCTCTGATTTCAATCACATTTCGGAAACTGAAAATGAAGTTTTCCTTTAGCATGGCTTGCCATAGATCTTTAACTCGTTTACGGAATGAAGAAACAGTTAGCTTGACCACTTCTTTTGAGCACATTTGCTGAATAACATTCTCTTTTACTTTTTGCAAGTCTCTACCATAATTTGGGTTTATCGGAGCCATGGGAGGACTTCCTTTCAATAGACTTGGTATGTAAAATACGTCTTTATTTTCGTCAAATGCAATGATATCATCTAACTTTTGAAACTGATCATCACAATTTTCTTGTATTGCTGCAAGCCTTGCCATATGGTCTAGATTTTGTTTTAGATTTCGCCTATCCATCATTAACTTATCTGCAGCGTCATTAGCAGCAACATTTTGATGGACGATCTTGCATGATTTCTTGTCTTTAACAAGTTTCATTTTCAAGAAAGCATGAACAGACATCGCCAAAAACTCTTTCATTTCATTATAGTTTTCACCAAAGATATTGACAATCGTGACATCAGCCACACCAACAGCAAAAGTTGCCAATTCATTATCGTGTTCTCTCACTATTGGGTCAGCCATTCCTTTTAGACCTTCAGTATCGATGATCAGCACATAATCAAAATTTGAGTCACATTTAACATGCTCACTAACTGGAACAAGACTAACAAAAGTACCACGAGTAAATCTTCCTGCACTTACAGGGAATTCTAAGCAAAACATTGTATTTAACATTGTCGATTTACCGGAACTTTTAATACCTAACACAGAAATGACGTAAATGCTAGCGTTATTTGTTTGCATTTCTAATTCTTCATAAACAGCATTAAACCATTTCATTGGTATGTAACCTGAATCACCATCCAGCAATTCCAAAGGCTCTCCGGAAAGAAGAATTTTCGCTGCAACACCAGCATAATCATTCACTACAACATCAGTAAGCTGATAAAGTTGGGCAATCTCTCTAATGATATGCTCCAAACCAAATGAAGACTTTAATATCAATTCTTCCAGTTTATTTAAATTCTTTTCTTCCTTGGTTTGTGAATCTGGCCTATCACTTTGCGTGTTTTTGGTAGGTTCTTTAACAGAAAGTAATGCCCGACGATATTCTTTATGTAAATCAGTCATCACAGATAGAGAAACTTTGTCTAACAAATATTTCAAATGATGCAAATTTCTATTCAGTTCCCATTCATTCATTACAGTTAGGGAATAAAGGAATTTAGTAACATCTTTGTTCATACTATTGAACGATTCAATCTGAGCCTTTTCTTCATTTTCCCGTTCTTGGTATAATTCATTGACAACGTCTTCTTGTTTTATAGTGGGACGAAATTTTGGATTCTGTATCTTTTTTTCTAAATCTGCTAAAATTGGTACATGACCTTGTAGCTTAAACAGGTTTTTTGCATTTTGAATCCCATCAGAAATCCAAATTTCCACAGTTTTTTCCAATTTGGCATAAGCTGGGTCGTCATCAAAGTAAACACCACATTCCTTTGATTGGCATTTGAGATTTGCTAAAGATTTCAGTTTACTTTCTTGCTTGTTACTGTCTTCAGCCTCTTTTATATTGCTTTGTATAACCTTGCGAACATAATTGAAAAACTCATATACATTTGATTTAGATGCTTTTGTACAGGAAGACAATTTTGTACGATGATACCTCTCTAAATCTTTGTAGTACTTCTTCACTTCTTTTTGCCTTTTTTCGTTAAAAATCAAAAGTGTTTTACCTTTGGACATTATAGCTTCATCCAAAAAATTTTTCATGCGTTTGTCAGGCATTTTCGAAGGCAATAAAATACACAAAATGTTTGATATCTCTCGAAGTACATTAACTTGCTTTTTGAAACTCTGAGCATTTCCACGTAAATTGGTAAAACAGATTTCATTTTGCAAAGAGTTCTTCTTGTTTCCACCAGGAAGATACCACACAAGCTCTACTAATCCATCAACGACTTTCCTTTCCACATCACCGCCTTTGATATTTTTATGAAAAAAGAAATCATGATCACCATTACCATCACTGATAATCTTATTCATCAGGGACGATTTGGACATGGTCACAATACCCAGCCGAATAAAAGACACTACGGGAAACGGATGTTCCGTTGCGTAGACAACTTTAGAAGAATCTTCGGAAGTGGCATCTTTCCAAGATTTTGTTATTTTTTCCAACGCCGAAAGCAAGACAGTTGGGTTTTTTGCTGGATCATCAGGAACAGGTAAAATAAAAGGAACGCTAAGCTGACATTCACTAAGTTTTACAGCTAGATCCCGTCGCAAGAAATCGTCAGAACAATAGAAAATCCCTAATAAAGCATCCATAGGGTTAATTCCTTCCACAGCTTCACTTTCGTCATCACTATCACTATCATCGGAATCATCTTCATCCGTGTCATCGCTATCACTTACACCAGTACCATCATCATTTGATTTTATAATAACTTTATATTTTTTTAATGGTTCCAGTTTAAATTCACGTGCTTGGTGATTAGCCATCATTAACATTTTAAGAATATAACTGGGAATTTGGTCATGAGAAGTCAGTTCGTCGTCAGTAAACGTTGCAAAAGTACGTGCATGTTTCAATGTAAGTTTTGTTTTAAGACCTAAACGTTCGCAGAGTTCAGATAATGCATCTTGTTTTATCTTATGAGAAATCTTTTCTGTTTTATTGGGAGTTACACCCAATTCGAAATCCTGACGAAATTCTTTTCGGCCTAATTGAAAAAAAAAACATTTATAGAATGATCTCCAAGAATTTAGCTGTTATATTTATAGTTTGTGTACTACACAGCACACGCCTTACAAATAACAACTTGGATTAATTTTACCCGTAATATTGGTATGCCTGTGCTTTTGTGTGTTCAAAATCAACCAAAAATTTACAATAGCTCAAAGCACGGCGATACTATATATTGCGAAAAGAAAGCAAAACTTTATGCCACAGTTTGACACTGTTTCAAGGAAACCCAAACCATCAAAATAATAATTTTATCTATCTAAGATAAACACAGGCAGTTGGGAAAACAATTTAACGGAGGGATAGGCCAAACTAAATATCGCAAGCTATTGATCGTGAAAAAAGAGAATTTGGCTTCAACAAGTTTACATCATTGCATGTCCATATTTTAACCCCATGTGCTCCAATTGCTGTTTAGCTTTGTCATTTTTGTGCGCAACCTTTCTCCAAGGTAGAAATCTCTTCGGCCCACAAATTTTTTTTGCAAAGTTTTTTAATCCAGCTTAATCCGACAGATATTTACAGCCGCAGCTACAACTAAATCTAGTGCGCCTTGATATAATACCCTCAATTAATAGCTAGTGTACATTTGCGGTAATCGTCGTCAAAAATACAATCCATTCAAGGCACAAAGGCTAGTTTATTCAGCGAAAGTACGAAATTGTCACCAGGGTTACAAGATGCTATTTAGGGGGAATCTTTCCATGTTTTTACCGGTTTCGTTATAACACTGATGATTTAGCGTGAATCGAATATGAAACTATTATGGCTATCATCAAGCTTTAATCACTAATTGTTCTAGACTATACTATCATTCTTATTTCTTTCCTTGTGTTTTTTTCTGTCTTATTTGAGAATTGTTACTACTACTAACAAAAATTGTTCTAGTAAATTGATGTGAAGTGCTAATGAAGTATTCATACTTCCCTTTCACAATCCACTTGCATTAGCTTTGCGCGTAATTTAAAAGGCCAGTTTTCGTGCCGGTTATAAAACAAGACACTCTGGCACGAAATGCAATCCGGTAGCTATGTTGTGAGACCAGCATAAATCATCTTATATCTTATGGCTTATTACAAATGTATACGTACCTTTCACACAATGGACGCTAATATTTGAGGCGTTTTCCTTCTCCTTCTGGATGATGTTATCTTTGACGTTTTCAACGTTCTCGCTTTTCTCCTTTTTCTCTTTTATGCAAATATCAGCCAAACTGTTTTCCTCCGTAGTTTGCTTCGAGTCCCTCTCAACTACAGACAAAAAAGATTTATCTTAATTAGCTTTATTTTTTTTTTACAAAACTGTGTTACATAATATTATTAGCTTTGCCAGTAACGTAGCTAGAAAAAAATGGTTGGTCCTACTCTAGAAAAACGATTAGTAAGAATGGTATAGCTGTAAATCAAGTTCATAAATTAAACAGAAGGTAATTCTCGTATTTTCTGATAGTTACACGTTTAAGAACATGAGACTAGTCACAATGCAATTAGCTCTACAACAGCTCGAGCATATCCATGCCAATGATAATCTTGCAGTGATTGAAGCAGTCCCTTGGAACCACTGAAGTTGTTTAACGTGTTAAGGCGCCGATTGTATAAAATTCAGGAACAACAGCTTGAGCATATCTATGCCAATGACTATCTTGCAGTGATTGAAGCAGTCCTTTGGAACCACTGAAGTTGCTTATCGTGTTAAGGCGCCGATTGTATAAAATGCAGGAACAACAGCTGGAGAATATCCATGCCAATGACTATCTTGCAGTGATTGAAGCAGTCCTTTGGAACCACTGAAGTTGCTTATCGTGTTAAGGCGCCGATTGTATATACTGCAGGAACAACAGCTGGAGAATATCCATGCCAATGACAATCTTGCAGTGATTGAAGCAGTCCCTTAGATTCACTGAAGTTGTTTATCGTGTTAATGCGACGATTGTATATAATGCAGGAACAACAGCTGGAGAATATCCATGCCAATGACAATCTTGCAGTGATTGAAGCAATCCCTTAGATTCACTGAAGTTGTTTATCGTGTTAAGGCGACGATTGTATATAATGCAGGAACAACAGCTTGAGCATATCCATGCCAATGACTATCTTGCAGTGATTGAAGCAGTCCTTTGGAACCACTGAAGTAGTTTATCATGTTAAGGCGCCGATAGTATAAAATGCAGGAACAACAGCTCGAGCATATCCATGCCAATGACAATCTTGCAGTGGTTGAAGCAGTCCCTTGGAACCACTGAAGTTGTTTATCGTGTTAAGGCGTCGATTGTATATAATGCAGGAACAACAGCTGGAGAATATCCATGCCAATGACAATCTTGCAGTGATTGAAGCAGTCCCTTAGAACCACTGAAGTTGTTTATCGTGTTAAGGCGACGATTGTATAAAATGCAGGAACAACAACTAGAAGTAGTGTTACAAATCGCATTACTCACAGAAATTGTCTTGGATAGCTCAAAATCGAATACCAACTTCAAAAGATTGCAAGAAAAGACATCTGCCATAATTTTCAGTGACTAGCATTTCTCAAGGATGCGGCAAAAATTAAAGCCATTTCCGATAAAAGCAATTTTCAGGGAAATCAAAAGTCTTCTAAATTTTACCGTTAACTAAGTTTTTTAAAATATGAAGACGTTTATGCAATGCCATTTAAATGGCTTTATTTGCAGTCAAATTCTCCCAAGATATTTTTGATATCTGCTTCGACCTAATGCTGAGAATGACGAAGAAAGTTAAAATCATTTTTTTAGATCATGAGAACTCTTATTCTTCCAGAACGTAGTGTTTTTCCACAAAATTGAGAGAAAAACAGCAAGTGTACATCGCGCATTAAGTGCAACTTCAAAATATCCTGCATGTTAGAATAAAAACTGTGGCATAATGACCTCTTCCTGTCGTTTGGCAATTGGTAGGGGTATGTCCCTTGAATGATAATGACTGGATACGACTTACATTACTCCCTTTGTTTACTCAATAATACTGACAGGAAAAACAGCGCTTGTATAATATATTTCATAACCTCCGGTCGAAATATATATCAGTCTTAGTGTCATGCAGACCCTTTCATCTCACCGTGAATTCATCTGAGAGGTAAGCAATCGGGTCTAGTCTCCAGCTTATGAAAGTTAGGAGTTAGTAAGTTGATCTCAAGATGAAGAAACCGGTTTTACATTGATCAAACAAGGGATTGATGATGTTTGATCTAGCATCCAGTCGTTGCTACCCGAACAGAAAGTACTCAAGGAAGTCATAATCTGGGCGGCTGTTTCACTTGCCTGAAACACTATCACGAATATGTCTTACTTGATGCACCAAGTTAAACGATCCTGAGCAAGTTCAGTGAGTTAAGGAGAATGTGTCCCTCTTATAGGATTCATGTATGAACCGATGTAGTGTTGCACACGTTCAGGAACAAAGTTAATGAGGAGCTTCTTTGTCAAAAGAGATTCAATTGCTAACAAGGTCCCTTTCAGTTCAAGAAAATCGATATGAAAACGTTTCTTTGTAACATTTTCATTTGATTTATTGTAGACATCGAACAGACCCATGCATATGCAGCCTTGCTTTGATGCATCCGTGAAATATAATATTTCTTGTACGTATTTCTGGGTACATAAAAAGTTGACTGTTGTGTTGCTATTTTTAACAAAATTTGTTGACTTTTCAGAGCAAGTGAATTATTGGGATGTAAAGATGCAAACACTCACACCTTCGTTGCACAAACTTCAAACGACTTTGGGCAAGGTGTGCGGTACAATCCAGCACGAAAAGCAATCTAGTATGTTTTTAAACCCGATAAACTATCCTATAGTTTCTCGTTCATAACAAATGAAAACGTACCCGTTACATGATCAATCCTATCTTTTGAGGTGTATACGTTTTCCTCTTTGACGATATTATCTGTGATGTTTTCCTCGTTTTTCTTTTCTTTGTCAAAATCATTCAAATAATTTTTTTCCGTGGTTTGTTTAGATTCTTTCTCAACTAAAGACAAAAAAGTTTTTTGAAACTGTGTTACACAATTTTATCATGCAGCTTTTCCAGTAGCATAGACAGCAAAAAATCAAAATATCTTCTCGTCAACACCCAAGAGAAAGGATGGTGTATGCAGAGCAACCTCGATTGCATACAATTAAAAACACCATTTCCAACCTTCTTTCCAAGATTCAGCCATTCGCTTCTGATAACATATAGTACAATTTGAAGCACAATGCAGAAATGTATTTGCTAAAACGGGGCTGCACAGACAGTGATACGTCAAAATAAACTACTGCAGCTCATTTTAGAAAATATTTAGGTTAGAGGCAATGCCATTAGTAAAAATATATTCTTTAGAAATTCAAAACCAATAGTCTTTTTTTTATAGTATTTTGAATTTGAAATTGAGCAGCTATGATTTATTTTCACAAACACTGGATACGCTAGTGCTAACAAAAAGCGGCCATTATTGTCATTTTCAAAGTATACAAATTCAATACATATAATTTGAATATATAATAACGATCTATTTAGCCATATATTGTACAAGTGAAAGATTAAGTTTCTTTCATAGCTGTAAGCACTTGTTGATCGACAAGAGAACGATATCAACAAATCACTCGAAATATCTATTGTGTTCCTTGGAGTTAACAGTCAAACTACGTAAAGCAATTGTAAACATATGTCATTTCGATTTGATAAACAACTGAAAAACTACATGAATATACACCACACAAAAGGTTAACACTGAATAAGAAAACTGCGTTTTTTTTCGTCATTATTTAAGATAACTTTTCAAAATCTAGTAATTTTTTTAACCTATTCTGCGCAATGTCATTTTAGGAGCCATAAACAGCCCAAAAATCCCATTGTGCATTACCATGTCAAATTATAAAGCCAAAACATTATTGCTTGTCATCGAGCTGAGCGACAATATGCTTGATGACGTCAAGTGCACACCAAGAAATATCCAATAAACACGTTGAATTTATACATGCATTTCTTACATACCTGATTTGTTGGTTTAAAATAGCTGGAGTGAACACAAAACTCGGGTGGTTATTACAGATTTCAAAACATCGCTAGATTAAGCTCTCTAATGTTAAAGTGCTTCGATATTTTCAAGCAATATAAAATCTTCAAAAATAAGTAAACAATTCAAATATTTTTGGAATCAATGGAATACTAAAGCCGAGGAGAGAGTAACAAACACATATAAACAAAAACGAAAAAAGTCAGATTGCAATCACCAGGAACCTATACACAGGTACGTCAAATACTTCACATACTCGTGCGCAAAAAATACCACTCCAATTGTTATTTATGCCATTTTGAGATATAAAATGAGAAATCTTGAGAGATAAAATGGCGGAAAAGAGTTAAAGGCACTTTAGAAAATGTCAAAGATTTAATTTTATATTTAAATAAGAATCTTAGAACAAATAATTATTATGATTATTTATACCTCGTTTTCGAATCTTCGAGGGTTGTTTGTCCTTAGCTCTTACATCAGGAAGGCTTTCTGCAAGGTCGACATCATCGTTTTGCTTTTCTTTGTGGAAGTTATCCAAGTTCTTACTGTCCATGGTTAGTTTGGATTTTCCTGCATCTAAAGAATAAAGTTATTTTTGTTTTTTAAAATTCACTGAAATTTAATTTTTTTATAAAAATTCGAACATCAAAATATTTGCGATCGACAATTTCACTGATCAATACCTATGTCATTGACATGCACTGCAATTTTCATAATTTCAGAAATTACGTCATGTATATATTTATGTTAGACATTCCTTTCACGAGTTAACAAAATGCAGTTTGGAACTAACAGGTTCCCAATAAACGGGTGACGTTAAGCTTATAGAACTTTTGAAATCAAATATTTAGAGTTGGGCTTGAAGTTCCTTATTCATACTTTTTGATTCTTAGTAAAAGTACATTACACAAGTAATTTTTTATTAGAATATAACTATTTGCGTAGGACAATTTTCAGGAAATGGATGTTCTGTTGCGTAGACCACTTTAGCAGAGCCGTTTGTCGTAGTACCTCTCCAAGACATTGTTATTTTTTCAAACGCTGAAAGTAAAACCATTGTGCTTTCCATTGAATAAAAATGATCCGATAAAATAAACGGAACGGTAAGTTTACATGCACTCTGTTTAACAACTATTTCTCGTCGTAGGAAATTATCAGAGCAAGAAAAAATTGCTAACAAAGCATCCATAGGGTTTTCACCTTTAAGAATTTCAGTTGTTAATTTATCTGAGTCAAAGTCATTTTCTTTACTTTCGTCTTCGCTATTACTTGCATCAGAACCATAACCATTTAATTTATTGTATACTTTATCAACTTTCTTTGAATTCTTTGAATGGTTTCAATTTACACTCACGTGCTTGATAGTTGGACATCATTAGCATTATTTGGCATTAGCATAGGATTTGAGATTTGGTCATGAGAAGTCAGTTCATCGTCATTAAACTTTCCAAAAGTACGCGCATGTTTTAATGAAAGTGTTGTTTTAAGACCTAAACGTTCGCAGAGTTCCGATAGTATCTTTCGTTTTGTTTGATGAGAAATCTCTTTTCTTTTATTGGGAGTTACACCTAATTTGAAGGTAGTCTGACAAAATTTTTTTACACCTAATTAAAAAATCATATAAAATTATTTACAAACAAATAACCGTTGCATTTTATTTTGGGTATACTACACGTCCTACAACAAACTACTAAGATTAATACTACCTGTAATTTAAGCTATACATCGACATCCAAGATAATATGATAGTGTTGCAAAAAGATCCAAATCATAAAATTTGATATAACTTGATCTTGCTAAGATAAACTCAGATAGTGGGGAATACGGCCTACATTATTAGACCTTTGAAAATCCAGGTAAGTATGTAATAGCTACAGAGATGTAGCCCCAAGCTAAATATCAGATGCTCTAATGGTTAGGTAAGAAAGGGATTGGCTTAAATGAGCTTAACTCGTTGTGCAAAATTGAAGCAAAAGGAGTAATCAGTTGGGCGATAACAAAAACAATGTCTTAGTCTCTTTAGAAGAATATACGAAAAACAGAAGGTAATTTTTGTATTTTCTGATGGTTAAACGGTTGAGAACATGAGACTAGTCACAATGCAATTAGCTCTACAACAGCTCGAGCATGAAGTTGTTTATCGTGTTAAGGCGCCAAATGTATACAATTCAGGAACAACAGCTCGAGCATATCCATGCCAATGACAATCTTGCAGTGATTGAAGCAGTCCCTTGGAACCACTGAAGTTGTTATCATGTTAAGGTGCCGATTGTATAAAATGCAGGAACAACAACCAGAAATAGTGTTACAAATCGCATTGCTTACAAAAGTTGTCTTGGATAGCATAAAATCGAATACCAACTTCGAAAGATTGCAAGAAAAGACTTCTGCCATGATTTATATGACTAGCATTTCCCAAGAATGCGGCAAAAATAAAAGCCATTTCCGATCTTTTTTGGTTTCAAGGAAATCAAAATTCTTCTAAATTTTACCGTTAACGAAGTTTTTTAAAATATGAAGACGTTTGTGCAATACCATATGAATGGCTTTTTTGAAGTAGAATTCTCCCACGATAATTTGGATATCTGCTTCAACCTAATGATGAGAATGACAAAGAAAGCTAAAATCCTTATTTTAGTAAAGGTCATGAGAACTATTATTCTTCCAGAACGTAGTGTTTCTGCACAAAATTGAGAGAAAAACAGCTAATATAGATCGCACATTAAGTCCAGCTTCAATATATCCTGCGTGTTAGAATTAAAAGCGTCTCCCTAAAGGGTTGACTACTGAATCAGCTCTTGAAAATGGTTGTCGACTGAAAAGAAACGCCATTTACAGAGATTAATTTAAAAATCGACAAGTGCTTGCCACTCTCGGATAAACTTAGCCGAAATGCAGAGACATTTCACCGCGTAGCCCCAAGCAAAAAAACTGTGGCATAATGACCTCTTCCTGTCGTTTGGCAATTGTTAGGGTATATCTCTTAAAGGATAATGACTGGATGCGACTTATATTACTTCCTTTGTTTACTCAATAATACTGACAGGCAAAACAGTGCTTCTATAATATATTTCATAACCTCCGGTCGAAATATATAATTATCGGTCTTAGTGTCATGCAGGCACTTTTATCTTACGGTGAATTCATCTGACAGGTAAGCAATCGGGTCTGGTCTCCAGCTTATAAAAGTTGGGAGTTAGTGAGTTGATCTCAAGATGAAGAAGTCGGTTTTACATTGATCAAACAAGGGATTAATGATGTTTGATCTAGCATACAATCGTTGCTACCCGAACAGAAAGTACTCAAGGAAGTCATAATCTGGGCGGCTGTTTCACTTGCCTGAAACACTATCACGAATATGTCTCACTTGATGCACCAAGTTAAACGATCCTGAACAAGTTGAATGAGTTAAGCAGAATGTGTCCCTCTTATATGATTCATGTATGAACCAATGTAGTGTTGCACACGTTCAGGAACAAAGTTAATGAGGAGCCCACTTGTGTAAAAGAGATTCAATTGCTAAAAAGGCCCCTTTCAGTTCAACAAAATCGATTTGAAAACGTTTCTTTATAGTATTTTCATTTTGTTTATTGTTGGCATTGAACAGACCCATGCATATGCAGCCTTGCTTTGATGCATCCGTGAAATATAATATTTCTTGTACGTATTTTTGGGTACATAAAAAGTTGACTGTTGTGTTGCTATTTTTAACAAAATTTGTTGACTTTTCCGAACAAGTGAATTATTGTGATGCGAAGATGCAAGCACTCACACCTTCCTTGCACAAACTTCAAACGACTTTGGGCAAGGTGTGCGGTACAATCCAGCACGAAAAGCAATCTAGCATGTTTTTAAACCCGATAAACTATCCAATATTTTCTCGTTCATAACAAATGAAAACGTACCCGTTACATGATCAATCCTATCTTTTGAGGTGTATACGTTTTCCTCTTTGACGATATTATCTGCGATG